GCTTCTGAAAAAAAGCTTACCTGGACCCCCTGGACATGAACAGCTATAGGCCAATCTCTTTACTACTTTTTCTGAACAAAGTGATCAAGAGGGCAGTTGCTCTTCAACTCTAAGCTGTCTTGGAGGAAACTGATTATCTAGATCCATTTCAAACTGGCTTTAGGACAGGATATGGAGCTGAGACTGCCATGGTCACCTCAGCTGATGACCTTCGTCTGGGCATTGACAGGGGTAGTGTGACCCTGCTGGTGCTACTGGACCTCTTAGCGGCGTTTGATACAATAGATCATAACATCCTCTTGGATCACCTGAGAAGGTCAGGAATTGGAAGCACTGCATTGCAGTGGTTCCATTCCTTCTTCTCGGGCAGATTCCAGAGGGTATTGCTCAGGGACAGTTGCTCTACAAGGAAAGAGCTTAATTGTGGAGTCCCACAAAGCACCATCCTATCCCCGATGCTATTTAATATATATATGAAGCCACTGGGAGAGATCATCCGGAGACATGGGGTGCGGGGTTAGTATGCTGATGACACCTAGATATATTTCTCCATGTCTCTTTCCTCAGCTTTTATTTCAGATGCCATCTCTCCTCTTAATGATTGATTTAGAGCAGTAATGGACTGGATGAAGAAAAACAGATTGAGATTGAATCCAGATAAAACGGAGGTACTTACAGTAGCAGCCCTGAAACAAGGTATTAGGATACAACCTCCAGTCCTGGATGGGGTTACACTCTCCTCTAAGGACTGTGCTCGCAGCCTGGGAGTGCTCCTGGATCTGTCACTTCAGATGATAAATTAGGTAAATGCGACGGTTAGGGGTGCCTATTATGAGCTTTGGCTGATACGCCAACTGCGCCCTTTCCTGGAAGTTGGGGACCTTGAAACTGTGGTGCACGTGCTGGTAACCTCCCATCATGATATCTGTAATGCATTCTACATGAGGCTACTCTTGTGCTTGGTCTGGAAACTTCAATTAGCACAGAATATGGCAGCCAGGTTGGTCTCTGGAACAACTAGAAGAGACCATATAACTCCAGTTTTAGATCACTTCACTGGCTGCCCATTAGTTTCCGGACACAGTACAAGGTATTGGTTATCATCTTTAAAGCCCTAAATGGCTTGGGTCAAACCTATCTTTGGGACTACCTCTTCCCGTATAATCCACCCCGCACACTCAGGTCCTCTGGGAGGATCTCCTGCAGCCTATAAAAACTAGGCTGGTTGTAACCGCCCAGAGGGCCTTTTCAGCAACTGCTCCCAGATTATGGAATGGCCTGCTGGATGAGATCCGTCATATCACCACCTTAAACAGCTTTAAAAAGGCTGTTAAGATGGATCTCTTCCGGCAGGCCTTTCCTGAATAGATACCCCAGTCTTCAAGAGTCAGCCCATCTTTCTGCCTTATTTTTTTTGCCACAGTTATTGTTATTTGTATGTTGTATGTTATTATGACCTATTTCAAGTATGTTTTAAATTGTTTCATTGTTTAATACTATTTTTAGGGGTGGGTGGGTTTAGGGGATATGTATTGTATTTTTACTGTATTTTTAATGTTGTAAGCTGCCCCGGTTGCGTACGCAGAGGGGCGGGATAAAAATAAATTTTATTATTATTATTATTCTGAACAAACAAAACAAAACAAAACAAAACAAAAACGATGATAGGGTCATTTTAGGATTGCCATAATTCAGAAACAACTTGAAGCTACACATCAGCAATAACAACTACAATGGTGTCACTTATATAAAATGTCAAAATTAAGGTTTGATTTTTGGATATTTTTTTTAAAAAAAATTCAAGCCATGGATGGTTGAATCCGTGGATGCAGAATCTATGTATATGGAGGTCTGACTGCACTTAACTGAGTTATGCTATCCATTTCACTGCTTTGTTGTAAGAAGTAGCTCTAGATAGCAAAATCACTCTGCCCTGGAACAAAGGAAGAATACTCTGGTTTACTCTGGAAGCTAGGAAGCTGTCTTATATTGAGCCAGACCACTGCCCAGTCTGACCCAGTATTGGGCTAGATGGAATATCTTCCTTACGTTTATTATCATCTTCAGGTTGTTCTGAATCTTCTGGATGAACTGGCAGTGAGGGCAATTGCTGTTCACTGGTGGTATCTGGTAAAATTTAATCTATGAAGCCCTGCATGAGTCAGGATCTATGTTAGTATGTCTCAGACTTTCCCCTTTAGGAATGAGCAGAATGCTTTCTATGGACTTCCTCCTTTTCCCAGTTCCAAAGTCTATTTCATCTTGGTTCCATGCAGACTTTTTAAAATGGAAAAGAAATCTATACATATTTTGTGTGTATTTTTCAAATGCATATAATGAATGGACACATTCATGTATGCCTTATGGAAGTACATACCCAAAGACTAGGGCATGTTTTAGGGCATTCTGGAAGTAGTTTTGTGCATTTTTCCCCCCAAATGTCTGTGTCTTACAGAATCATGAACTATGACCAAGGTCTAATCTGCACTGCGGAAATAATGCAGTTTCACACCACTTTTTCGCCATGGCTCAATGCTATGGAATTCAGGGATTTGTAATTTATCGTGGAAGCAGAGCTCTCTGTCAGAAAGGCTAAATATCTCAAAAATTCCAGAATTCTATAGAACTGAGCCATGCCAGTTAAAACAGTGTCAAACTGCAATATTTCTGCAGTGCAGATTAGACCATAGGCTTGGAAAGGCTCTTTCTTTCAATTGCCTTCCAATGTAGGAATCAACTAAGGAATGTATAGGTAGCTATCTGACCAAGGACCAAGGAAAGTCTATGACCTTCCTAAGTATTCTTATCTCATGAGATGCATATCTTGTCAAATACATTTTTCATTCTTTTGCTGAGTTCACCAAAAGCCCAGAAATCTATGGATTTCTCATTGCAAATACTGTCATTTTCTGTGCTCCACTCAAGAAGTGCAGTTTGGATAAATCCACAAGAAAACAACGCCAACCCTTGTTAAAGTGAATTTCTTGTACATGGGATAAATGTATTTCCACACATACCAAATCAAACCATCTGCTAGATTTAGTTGGCATTATTCATCCCTAAATTGCTACAAGTAGCAAGGTGGAACTCTGCCAAAGATTCCTGCAGGTAAGCCATAGGCTAGTTATATAATCCAGATGGCACAGACATGAGCCAAGGTAAAAGTTTCAGTAGAAGACAAAAGCTGCATATTGAGATTCACTAACCAGTCTGATCTGGAGGCTGCCAGGGATAGGAAGTAGGGTGACAACATTTTTTGCTGAGCACAAGGATGCTGCTCACCTCATTAACACAAATCAATAAGAAATTGCTATGCATTGATTGTCCATGTAGCAAATTAACAGATATTGAAGAACTTATTGAACAACAATTTTGCATCCTGAAAAGGCAGACCGAGTCCAATCTGATCAAGGATGGACAGGGTTGCACTAAGGTATTTTTTTATTGTTTGGGTGGGGAAAAACAGTGTACCTTCCCATTCTTTGTACAAAAGCCATTTGCTTTGGCAGTAGAGCCTGATATGGGAGAGCATCTGCTGTTGTCATTGTTAACTGCCCTTGAGTCGACCCCAACTCATGGCGACCCTATAGATGAAACATCTCCAAGACTCCCTGTCCTCCACTGCTCTCCTTAGGTCCTATAAATTCAAACCTGTGACCTCTCTAATTGAGTATATCCATCTAGCTTGCATGCAGTCTTCCTCTCTATCGTCCCTCCACCTTTCTTAGCATTATTGCCTTTTCCAATGAGTCGTGCCTTCTCATGAAGTGGCCAACATATGACTGCCTCAGTTTGATCATCTTGGCTTCCAGGGAAATTTCAGGCTTGATCTGTTCAAGGACCAATTTGATAGTTTTTTGGCCATCCACAGTATCCTTAGAAATCTTCTCCAACACCACATATCAAATGAATTGATTTTCTTATTGCTGGCTTTCTTCACTGTCCAGCTCTCACAACTGTACATGGTAATGGGAAATACCATGACTTGGACAATTCTAACTTTATTGCTCAGTTGTATATCTTTCCTCTTTAGGATATTTTTTTTAGCACTTTCATGG